GACAAGGCGAGGTCAACATTATTCGTCAAACCCTTAAGAAAGAGCTGTCAATCAAGATTGTTGAGCTTAATATTGATAATGCTCAATTGGAGGGAAGCGATGTTCTTTTTACAGGTATTCTTGTTGGGCCTCAGCTATTTTCTTAAACCTAATGTGCTTCGGCTAAAAATTTTACTTATCACAGGACAAGAAATTATTGTCGGTCTCTCCCCCCATACGAATGAAGCCGGTGCTCAGGCCGTTGCTCGGGCTTTTCCCGAATACCCTACTACAATAGTTCCCGTGCATTCACCTTACACTTCACTTAAGTCTGCTGTATCCATGGCTGGTATTAACGTCATGGCTGTTTGCCAAGACAAACCTGCTCAGGACATACTAAAGGTTTGTTGCTTCCCTTAAGAATTGGCCACCTACCATTGACATAATAACTTTGCTGTACTAAATAGTAGCTTAATGTAACTTTTGGACATCGTTGTCCTGAATTTTTTTGGGATTAGTTGGTATTTTATCGTTATTGCTTTGCCAAAAGTTTGTTTTACCTCGAAGCTATGCTGAACTTTAGTTCGCACCTTCTAGAATGTCAACTTTCTACAGTTGACTATATATGTGGTGATATGATCTAATATAAATACCGTTGGGGGAATTTCTTATGGCTTCACTTTATAACCTAGTCATTTCACTCTATCTCTTTAACTAGAACAAGTATATTTGTGTTATATCAATGAACATTAAATTATAACGATCTTGTCTCGTTTTATTACACATTTTACAATGAACTACTTTTCATTAAGAATAAAATACCTGAATTGCTTATGTGGCTAGTGCTTGGAAGGAGCAGCTTGCCGTTATTAAATTTTTCATATAGATCCATTCTTTGTATTATGTTCAGGAAATATGTCGAGCTGCTTCCTACACTTACAAAGTGTTGACGTTGCCTGAACCAAATGCAGTTCAGATGCTTTACGTGAACAACTATCTCCTACATTTACCCGCTGATATGATTCCAAACAGCACTGGGGTAAGGCAACCCTACTTGAGTTATTTTTTAAGTCCCTTATCTACTAGCCTTAACCCTTTCCTATGGCTTATAATTCACTTAATTGAAATTATTTATACCGTGTTTCTGTCTATATTATTCAGGTAACTATAAGAGTTTATCGAAGATATGAAGACCAAGATGGTGTGGCCTTTTGTGTGGTCGCAGTCTCCTTTCGTTGAATAGA